GCCTATTTTCGTCACCCATTTGATAAAATAATATAGTCATGTCACCTCTAGGTTTGTAGATATTTTGATATAGTTTTTTAATATATAATTTTTATTTTTAAATTTTACATCATTTTTCATATAAAATGATTTGAAAATAACTTCAGTCAAGCATCGTAACACGCAATGTGAAGTTTATTTGTGGACAAGGGGAGTACTTCGTACTACTAGTTATTTAATAATATATTAATATGATTTTATAATAATAAAAATAATAATAATTTATTTGTCCACCAACTAGGATGCACGAAGAACAATAATAAGAAAAACAATAAACTCTCGGAATATGATCTTAATATTGCTTATACTCCGTATTATCTTAATTCAGCTTAGGTTTACAGAGGAGGTTTTACTATCTATTTATAGCTTACACAGTAGGACGTTTATGGTAATAGATTGTTGTCCGGGTTTCTCGCCACAATTGATCTGATGGACACCTATAATAGGCGGAGAATTGGTCATCAATCACCCACGGTCTGTGGGATTTGTCGTCTATTGCCTGCTAATCCGTTGCCTGAGCCAAACTCTTGGACAACTCCCTTTCGGCCCATACTATGTGAATGTTGGATAAATTAATGTAACAACCTATTGGGCCAGTTCTATTACTTCTATATCTCATTGGGCCGGATATGCATCACCAGCTCTCTAGTTTGTTAAGTGACAAGTCACTAAGAGACTAATGATGAAAAGTCTTCAATTTTCGTGTCTGAATCAGAAATGCACGTCTTCCGCCTTTGTAGCATCTTGATCTACACATCGTAACGTGTATAATTCCCATCGATTCTAAATCCTAATCCATCCTTTCATCCGTGAGATTTGCACGACGGGGTGCATTTCCCTAGGTCAGTTCACATCAAATACGCACAGGTTTTTTTCCTTCTACATCCTCTGCTGCCAGTAGAAGGAAAGGACACCATCTAAGGATGACTTCCTATTACTTTTTAGTGTGGGTGGCGTCTCTCCATACATGAGCGTCTACCCCCACAAGGCGTGGACCATCTTCTAGGTAGTGGAGGGGAAAGGGGAGAAAATGGTCTAGAAATTTTTTGCCATTGAGTTTCCCAAGGGTACCAACCCTAATGTACCCAACAACGTGATTCGGTCCAGCATGAGCTGCACTCGTTAAGGATATGAAGGCCGATGAAATTGACGTTGTTCAGGGCAGCCATATTTTACTACTCAGATCATGATATGGTGATCCCTCGCTTGAAAGGGAAAATGGTTGCCGCATCAGAGGATGATGAAGAGCAATTTGACAACCCCTTTTCCATGGAAAGGGAAGACAAGGGACCCTCGCAAACACTATCGTCGGGGGATCAGGCACCAACATGGGCCTGTGAAGTTAGTCCCCAAGTACAAGAGATGTTCCACTCCACGCATTCCCCAGAAAAATCCCTTCCGTGGTTTTTGTCGGTAAGCCATAGGGCCTAGCATACCAGAAGCCAACTTGTCCCTTAAAGCGCAACCCTGGATTAATCAAGTGAAGGCCAGTCATCTCCATGATACACTTGTGTATGAAATTCCATACCCTCAATGGCATTGGGGAAGAGAGAGGGGCTAGAAACATGTCTTGTCATGTTGTCTAGATGTCGTAAAAAAGATGACTCGCCTCTTCAAGTGGATTGAGGTCATCTCGCTGGAGGTGGAGAGAGGAGAAATGAAGCCTAGGCTAGATCCAGACTCGAGCACGGAGGAAGTTTACATTGACCCTGTCATTCCAGAAAGGATAGTCAAGATCGGGGCTGGGCTGCTTGATGACTCAATGACTAAGATCATATAGGTTCTCACCAAGTATAAATCTTCGTTTGCTTGGAGTGTTTCAGATATACCGGTGATAGATCAATCACTGATATGCCATCATCTATTGGTCTTAGAAGTGTCTCACTCTGTGAGGAAAAAAAGAGATATTTTGCCAGCGAGAGGAGGGACTTTGTAAAGAAGGTCAAAGACTTGCTTAGGGTGGGGCATATCAAGAACTTCACTAACATGAATGGCCAACTAATGTATTTTTGGCCTCCAAAAGAGATACCTGGATGATGTGTGTCGAAGATACAGACTTCAACAAAGCATGTTTGATGGATTCATACCCCTCCCCACCCGGGATCAAGTGGTGGATGAAATAGAGGGGTGCGAAGTACGTAGCTTTATGGATGCCTTTAAGGGGCATCACCAATTTTTATGGACGAGAGAGACAAAGAGAAGATGTCATTTCTCGCCTTAAATGGACTTATTGCTACAGGGTGATGGCCTTCATGTTAAAGAATTTGGGGGCGACTTATTTAAAGATAGTGAACAAGTTGTTCAGGCCATTGTTGGGGAACAAGATGGAGTCATACGTTGACGATATGCTAGTGAAGAGTAGGGTACTAGCACGCATCCAGTAGACGTGGAGTAATGTTTTGACATCATGGTGAGGCATAACATTTTCTTAATTTGAATAAGTGCGTTTTCACGGTTAGAACTGAGAAGTTCCTTGCTTTCATGGTGACCATGGGAGGGGGGATGAACCAAATCCCAAAAAAATAAAGCACATATGGAGATGTAGCCCCTGAATTCGGTTCGAGATGTTCAGAGACTGATAGGATGTATGTTTGGCGGTGTTGAATCAATTCTTTTCAAGATCAGCAGAGAAAGTGTTCTCCTTCTTCAAAGTTTTGAAAAGGGCCAATGGAGTTCTGAGTGCTCCTAGACATTCGAAGATCAAAATACCTACCTGGCTTCGGACATTGTCTTGTCCAAACCAGAAGTAAAAGAAACACAATATTTATATTTGGGAATGACCCACCAGGCATTCAACTCTATGTTCATTCGAGAAGATGAAGTTTAGAGGCCCATATACTATGTAAGAAAGGCCTTGAATGGGGCAAAAAGTATATACACCTTCATGGAGATGGCCGGGTATGCATTATTCATCACAGCTAAGAAGCTTGCTTATTATTTCCAGGCCCTCCCAATTGTGGTTCTGTTGGACTAAACCCTTGGCATGGTAATGCGAAATTATAAATCCTCAAATAGAATGACGAAGTGAGCAACGATGTTAACCTATTTAACATTGAATACCATCTCATGACGGCAGTAAAAGGTCAGGACGTTACAGACATCTTGGTTGAGATGACAAGTCAAAAAGAGGAGGAACCAAAAAAGTTAATAACTAAACCATGGCAGATGAAGCATCAGGATAAAGGTTTTGGAGGAGGGGTGGTATTTACCAGTTTAGAAGGATTCAAGAAATACCACACCCAAATATTCAATTTCAAGCTCATGAATAATGAGGCGGAGTATGAAGCTTTAGTATGTAGGAGGTTTAAGGTTGGCTAAAGCCTTCCTAGTCACGCACTTGGCCATCAAGTCGGGTTCAAGCTTAGTGGTAGGGCATGTCAACGACAATTTGTAGGCAAAGGGAGAAAAGATGCACTAATACCGGGATCTCGTAATGGCATTGCTATGAGACATGGTGGAATACAAGTTGAAGCTGATTCTAAGAGGGGAGAACACAGACGTCGACTTGTTATCAAAACTGACCCAAGTTGCCCCGGAGAATGTCTCGAAGAAAGCTAAAACTAAGACGGTGGATAAACCAAACACAGAACAATTGCCCATCAGACTGTCATGGAACTTGACTCGGTGGATCTTGGTTCAGTCAAGGTAGAATTAGGGATGGCAATTAAACCCGAGCCCGATCTTAACGGACCCAACCAAACACTAAAATATCCGAACCCAAACCAAGAATAAAATAATCCGAACCCGACCTGAAAATTTTTACCTGAACCCGACATCTGGTCGGGTCAGGTTTGGATTTATAATTTTATCTGACTCGAATATTTTATAACCTAAAACCCTATCTACAGATATAATAAGCACTTTGTATAATCTCTTTTTTTTCAATTTTTGGGCGCAACTGCATCTCTCTCTTGGTCCTTGTAGTGCATCTTTGTTTGTTTTTCATTCTCCTTATACGGTTTTTCCTTAGGGGTGGGCAAAATTACCGGCCCAACATTGTACTGAACCATACCGACATTGTATTGAACTGAAAAGTGGGTTTTCAAATGGTTCTAGTAAATAATATCTTGAATCAAACTGAACCATTTTCAAAATAGTACGGGACGAGTTTCCAAAAGATAAATACCGAATATACCAAACTGAACCCTTTCCTTTAAAATATTAAATTAATAAATTAATTATACATTTTCATTTGTTATGTTTTAGTAAGATTTTGTCATATTTATTTGGTGTAACTTTAACATAATTAAAATTATACTTTTATAGTACTTTATTACTCCAAAATACAACTCAAGTTATAATTTTATTTGTTGAAAAATCAAACTATTAGTATGATTTGTCAAAAATTGTTACTAAATAATACACTTATTGTGTAAGATTGCATAAAAAAATTGGCCTATAATTAAATAAAAAGAATATGGTATATAAAATAGATTAATAATATTTTGAAAATATTTTATAAATAAATATAATACAATTATTTTTGTATTAATATCTAATATTACCTTTGTCCCTGGGTATTTGTCCAATTTTAACTTTTTGTAGTCAATCATTTCCAACATTTGACCTATTATTAAGTAAAATTTATATTGTATTTTGATTAGATAAAATAAATATTGAAAATATTTTATAAAACGAATCTAATAAAACTATTTTTGTATCAATATTCAATATCACTTTTATTTAATTTATAAATGATCAAAGCTTATCAATTTTGACCGCAAAAATTCAAGAGTGGACAATGTTTATCAAATTTGACGAAGGGAGTATCACTATTATTTAGTTTGTTGTCAATGTTTATCAAATTTGACAAAAAAAAAATTCAAAACCGCACAAATGATCATGGATAGAGATAAGTGAATCATAAAATCTGTTGGGAATTTAAACACACAACACACACAAATAATCTGCGAGAAACGAGAGAAACGGAACACAAACGACACACAAGAATTTAACGTGGTTCGGTTTCCCTAATCCACGGCTGCAACAGGAGGATTTTCTTATTTCACTTGTGGTGCCGATTACAAGTACAAGTATGCAATATATATAAGAAGAGTGCATCTAGGGTTTCGTAACATGGGCCGGGCCAAAAGTCAAGCCCAAGCCTCCACAAACCCAACATTCTCCCACTTGGAGGCTTGATAGTCATCAACTGTCATCCACCACGATTCCCTGTACATCGAGTAATCTTCCTCAGCTCTCCTGTTGCAGCGGCCCTATCATCAGACAACTGAAAGGCCCGTTGAAGCTCTCCCAAACTCCAACACATCCGTCACGGCAAAATCTGCCCCTGACTCGTCCTCGGTCCCTACCGGCTCGCACTGCATATGCACACTGCCAGATCCTGGAACATCCTGAGAACAAACATTCTCCGTACTCAGCAAGAAATTTTCTTGAGATGTTCCAACAGCTGGAATACTGGTTCTCCTGACCCACTGTCTTCTAGGCAACTTGGCTGAAGTGCCTCTTGAGCTCCCACTGCCACAAATACCTCTGACTGGCCCCCTTGAACCTTTACAGGCTCGTTCATCCTGAGTCTGACCAGTGGCTCTAGGTTTCTCTCTTGCACAAACAACCTTGTTCTGCCCACGAGACTCTGTGAACCGGACTTTGTTTCTCTTCTGAACTGGGACGGTCACTCCCTCAGATGGTAACTCGACCATATACAGCGAACCTCTCTTCTTTCCACGGGCCATGATAAGATTTCCCTTCACGACCTTCCACTGCCCATCTCTGAACTTCACCTCATATCCCTGTTCGTCCAACTGCCTGACAGAAATCAAACTTTTCTTCAAGGCTGGAACAACTTTGACATCCTTCAAAGTCCAGAAACCGACTGGGGTCTTCAGCACTATGTCACCCATGCCCATCACATCAAGAGCTCTGTCGTCGGCTAGTCATACCTTTCCAAAGTCCCCAACAACTAGATTCTGCAATGCTTCACCGTTGTGGGTAGCATGAAATGAAGCACCAGAATCCATGACCCAGGAATCCACATTGCTTTCCTCACAGCAAGTCAGAGCGACCTCCTCGTCACTCGCAGAGCCTTGAGCAGTGTTTACTTTCTTATCATTCAGACATTGATTCCTAAAATGCCCTACCTCCTTGCACTTCCAGCACGTTACACCTGAGCTGTCACGAGTCTTCGACTGACTCCTTTATCTGTTCCTGCTCCCACTACCTTTGCTATATCTTCTGCCTCTACCAACATGAAGTAATTCACCAGATGACTCCCCTAAACTCTTTCTTCTAACATCCTCGCCAAGAACGAGATCTCGAATCTGATCAAAGGTGAATCCATCGGGTCCCACTGAACCGGTAACTGCTGTAACCGTTCCGGACCAACTATCAGGTAAAGACGATAGCAGTAGCAAAGCTTGAACTTCATCATCGAACTTAATGCCCACTGACAAAAGTCTGGCTAAGATCGAATTCAGCTTATTGATATGCTCGGTAACAGAAGTGTCTTCTTTCATTCTTGTGTTCACCAGCTCTCTGATCAGAAAAACTTTATTCGCTGCAGATGGCTTCTCGTACATGTTAGACAGCGCATCCATAATTCCCTTCGCTGTCTTCTCCTTTAGAATGTTGAATGCAACATTCTTGGTCAACGAGAGACGGATCACGGACATAGCTTTCCGGTCCAAACCTGCCCAATCTGCATCCGACATCTTTTCTGGCTTGTCACCCAATACCACGTCTAAATCTTTCTGAGCGAGCAAATCTTCAATTTGCATCCTCCACCAACTGAAATCTGTACCATCGAACTTCTCAATTCGGAACTTCTCATCTTCTACCATCTCAAACGACTAGACGAGATACCCGGTACAACTAATTTCAGATCTTGGTAATTTCGTCAAAAAATCAAGGCCAAATCCACAGCCCACGAATAAGACCAGTCCAAACCTAAAAACCAGCCCAAAACAAAAAATCACACGGCCCAACTGTTTTTTCTCTTCTTCGATCCAGCAACAAAAAAACCTTTTTTCCTTTTTGCCGAAACTCCTGCCAAATAGAAAAAACCCTTTTTTTCTTCAAAGCCTTTTTTGTTCTGGCGGCTGTGCAATTTGGACGGCAATCAACACTGGACTTCGGCGGAGCTGTGCGCAGCGGGTTACAGGACTACGGCGGCGGATCCTCAACCAGCAGCGTCAACTGAGGACGGTGGCGGCTCCTCAACCCGGCCTGACTGCACGCGGACGGCGGCGATTCTCCTCGAACAAGCGGCGTCGATCTGAGAACAGCGGTGGTCCTCTGCGCGCGGCTAGCGACGGTGGCGGTTCTCCCTTCTCTGCTCGAACCAGCGGCAGTCCTCTCCTTCACAACGACGATTCTAACGCCACGATCCTCTGCGCGCGGCTAGCGGCGGCGGCGGAACGGACCAGCGGCGGATCTCCAACCTGGCGGCGGTCGGCGGGAGACCAAGGCTGCGCGACGGCGGCACCGAGGCAACCCCAAGGCTGCGGCTCTCTCCCCTGCTGCACGACTCACTCCGGCGCGGCCCTCACAGCGGCGACAACTGAGGATGGCGACGGCTCTGGATCTGCTATCGATGGCGGCGGCGATTCATCAACGCGGCGGCGGCGGCTCCTTCTTCCGCTGCTCCTGCCCTTTCCTTCGGTCCTTCAAATCGGTCGCGCACACACATCCAACTATCCAGATCTAGATCTGCAAACCCTAGGTGACAGCTTCTCACTATTTGTGTTCTCGTGTTGAACAATCTAGCTTCGATACCAATTGTTGGGAATTTAAAGACACAACACACACAAATAATCGCGAGAAACGAGAGAAACGGAAAACAAACGACACACAAGAATTTAACGTGGTTCGTTTCCCTAATCCACGGCTGCAACGCGAGGATTTTCTTATTTCACTTGTAGTGCCGATTACAAGTACAAGTATGCAATATATATAGGAGGAGTGCATCTAGGGTTTCGTAACATGGCCGGGCCAAAAGTTAAGCCCAAGCCTCCACAAACCCAACAAAATCAAACCAAACACGAAAAGTATAATACCGAGTCTTATTGTTTAAAACATGCCTAGCTTGTGATAGAAATTTAATATTAATATATTTATTTTGAAATTTAGCTTTGAAATATAATGTTTTTATATTTTATATTTACATATAAATAGAAATATTAATAGCAAAGTAAAATTCCAAAGTTTTTCAATTCATTCTATTTAAAGAATGATATAAACATAAAATATTTAAAACTAGCATATTTAAAAAATATACATAAAATATTTAGCGTAATTCTATAAAAGGTCCTCAGTTGTAGTTCGTTTTACATATTTAGTCCCTACATATCAAATATCAATAATTTCGTCCCAAATTATTATATTGTTTTCCACGAATGGTCCTTTATTAACATTTTCCGTTACAAACGTGGATAAAATTGTAAATTCACACTCCTCTCTCTCCTCAATTAAGATTCCACCCTCCTCTCGTACTCCTTTTCCAAACTCGTCGCTGAGTTTGAAGCTTTGAACCCAAAATCGAAATCATCACTCCTCTCTCAATTGTTCGTCTTCGTGGTGGAATCCAAAATCGAAACTAGTAACCTTCATGGATGAGTTTTAAGATTTGTTTTCTTTGCAATTTCCCGAGACTAACCCATAAAACTCATCCATGAAGGTTATTGGTTTCGATTTTGGATTCAACTAGGAAGATGAATAAATGATAGAGGAGTGATCGTTTTGGTTTTGGGTTTAGAGTTTCAAACTCAACGACGAGTTTGTGAATGAGTATGAGAGGAGAGAAGAAGCGTAACTGAAGAGAGAGAAGAGTGTGAATATATAATTTTATCAATGTCCTTATTAACGGAAATGTAAACAAAGGACTATTTGTGGAAAATAATATATATAATAATTAGGAATTAAATTATTGATATTTGATATGGAGGAACTAAATATGTAAAATGACCTATAACTGGGGATTTTTTATGAATTTACTCTAAAATATTCTACTCCCTCCGTCCCTAAATAATTACAATTTTTTTTCTCTCCTCTCGATAACTTTTGTTTGTTTACGCGATTTCATTAAGTATTTGATAAAATAAAATATTCTTATCACTTCTTGTTTTGTAGAACTTTTGACGTAATTTTTTAATATGTAATTTTTATATCTTATTGATTTTTTAAATAAAATAATTTTAAGAAGTGGAAAATTTTATTTCATAACCCGCAATTTATAATCAAATTGGGAAGGGAGGGTGTACAAAACAAGAAGCAATAACATTCGGTCCTTGTTATAGATTACTCCCTCCGTCCAACAATAAAGTTCCCGTTCTCTATTCACAGGGTCAAACTTTATTCACTTTGTTGGCCTATTTTTGTGTCTTATTTGATAAAATAATATAGTCATGTCACCTCTAGTTTTGTAGATCTTTTCATGTAGTTTTTAAATATGTAATTTTTATTTTTTAATTCCATACCATTTTTCATATAAAATGATTTGAAAATAATTTCAATCAAACATCTTAACGCGCAATGGGAACTTTATTTGTGGACTGAAGGAGTATATTATAGGCTTCAAAGTATGACAAATACTCCGTACTTTATAACATTCGGTCCTTGTTGGTGTTTACTCATATGCATATGCATGCATGCACATACAGGCATGAAAGCGGCGCCGCTAGAGATGAACACCGCCGGAGTACCTGCAACCTCGTCGGCTCAACACCACAACAGGGCGGTCTTCAACCACACCCCCGGCGGCAATAACTCCCTGCTCTCAGACGTTGACGGAGAATGCACCGTGCGGGAGCAGGATCGCTTCATGCCGATCGCGAACGTGATCAGAATCATGCGCAAGATCCTGCCCCCGCACGCCAAGATCTCCGATGACGCCAAGGAAACCATCCAGGAGTGCGTGTCCGAGTACATCAGCTTCATCACCGGCGAGGCCAACGAACGGTGCCAGCGCGAGCAGCGCAAGACCATCACGGCCGAGGACGTCCTGTGGGCCATGAGCAAGCTCGGTTTCGATGACTACATCGAGCCGCTCACGCTCTACCTCCACCGCTACCGCGAGTGCGATGGCGGTGAGCGGGTCTCCCAGCCGCCGCTTATGAAGCGGACAATGGTTGATCCCACCAACGGCGGCTTCCAACCGTTCTATCCACCACAGTACTCCGGGCCCGTGGTGGCCGGCGGCCACCACCATGCTTACTTTGGGTATCCGCCGCCGATGAATGGTCACCACCTACTGCAGAGGGATGAAGCAAATGTCGCCGCCGCCACCTCTTCCCAGCCCGCAGCTGTAGCCAATATTGAGCCCTTTCCCCACTACAAGTAGTAGCTAGGGAATGTGTCAGTGTCTCCCTCAGCTCCGCTCCCAATTTTTTTTATGAGTTTTACTTTTTCTAATAAAATAAAAACGAATTTTGATTATTAATTAAAATAAAATTGCATTGCATATTAATACAAATCAATTTAAAAGATTTATTTTAGGGAAAAACTTTAAATGATTATTTTTCTATATTAATATGCAATTTAATTTTTATATAATTGATAATTAAAATTTATTTAATTTTATTTGAAAAAGTTAAACAATACAAAAATCTGGGACAAATGGAGTAATTAATTAAGTTATTGATGTGAGATTTTATTTATCCAATGATGAACCCCAAATTGGACTTGTCTCTACTCTCTACCCGACTTATTATTTATGGAGTAGTTTGTGATTAATCACTACAAGAAAATATCAATATTGCAACCGATACATTGCAACAAACTTTTTTCTGTTAGAAATATCAAACAAAAAGGGAATAATGTAATATCTTGATAATATCCTTGATTGGAATCAAATTACCAATCAGGATATTTGATTAACTTCCACTCACTTTCCTTGATTGTCTTCATTATTAACTTTGTAATATTTATAGACATTATTAGAGATGTATTCAATAAGATGAACATTTTTAGCTGTGAATTGATTCTATATTTCTAATATGGTATCAAAGCCATCATTCGATCAAAACAATTGAATGATACGCAGCGTTCATCATCTACCATAAAAAAAAATGTCCGATCCAACTCCAGAGAGTTCCACCTACACAGGGGAATCCGATCCAATGAAGCAGCCAGTCAACCTTGCACAAATTCTGGAAATTCTCCAAAATTTTCAGAATTTAGCACCCAAGGCCGAACCGATCGAGAGCTCTTCCAATCAGCTGTTAAATTTGGCGGAAAAACTCAACGATAGGAACTACGCCATTTGGGCGCGTAAAATGAGTCTGGCTCTGGACGGGAGAGGACGGCTCAAGCACATCATCGCCGCACCTCTCAAATCTGATGATGCCAAATATATTAAATGGAGACAAGCAGATTCAACGGTAATAACGTGGATACTTGAAAACATAGAATCGGATATTGTTAATCAATATATCGATTACCCTACTGCCTGGGATTTGTGGAAACGGATCGAAGCCACGTACAGCTCCGGAAAAGATCCCCTCCAAATCTACGACCTGATGGTTAAGGCCAGCGAAATCAAACAAGGTGAACAGCCGTTGGAGAAAATTTACAGCCAACTACAAGCTGTTTGGAAGGAAATCGACAGACGTCGACCCAACCCGATGAAATGCCCAGAGGATATGACGATTTTCACACAGATTCAACAACAAAATCGTCTATATCAATTTTTACAGGCAATAAACAATGAATTTGATGCTGAAAAAAGAGATATACTCAAAACAGAGCCTCTTCCATCAATTGAAGAGGCGTACGCCCAAATTCGAAGGGAGGCAGCAAGAAAAGGAATAATGAAAGGAGAAGGGCCATCATCGGGAGAATCTCCCTCAGGAATTGGCGGTGGCCTAGCGGCTACACGCGCGGCGGTGC